GACACTTAAGAGTTTACTTGTAGAAAAAGATAATCAGATTTGTATCTACTCTAGAAAGTGTTTCCCTCATTACTCATATTAACTTAAATCCTGTTTAAATTGAGTATATGTGTGTGCGTATCATGGCAGTGAAATTTCAAGGTATACATAATTAACTAATTCCATGTATAAATGAATTTCACAATTAGCTCCATAGTTATAGGAAAAACTAATTACTGTATTATATTTTCTAAGTCAATAATGTTTGGTTCCATCGTGCTAATTTAATTTGTATCTACACAAACACAGCATTCAATAGAAAAGCTAAATCTATCAACTGACTGAGCATAAAAACTACATTATTGTTTTTTTTAAATAATTATATACAAAAATGAACCACCCTAATAAGGTCCAATTGTACTTTTGCAAATGAATTGAAAATTATTTACCACAAGAATACACAGAATTAATAATTTACCAGCCAACTTTGTTGTGTTCCAACTTTGTTGAATGCAGTTTTCATCAATCTACCATTTGCATATTTGCAACTTTTGATATGCATTCTGATATTACAATAACCCACTTTGTTTTCTGCAGTAATAATATTATGTGTGTACGGACAAGCGGTACAATGGTGGTAAAACATAAGACAGTACGTTTGCAATTTGAATCATAACTGTTTTTGTATTTCTCAGATAAATATTTTAAAATGTGAATAAAATATTTCTCAGTCTTAAAATAAGATATTTCTAGTGCAATTTTCAAAATCAGTGAGGAGCAAGCCAAACAATGTGAATACATATGCACTTTTACTCTTTAAATTCTGTAGCAGTCTTACAGATCTGTCATTTACCAGAAGAGCAGTGTTAGTATTGGAAGGCTGGTCTCAGTCTTTTCTGCCTGACTAAAAGGAACATTATTGTGTATTTTAAGTAAGCACATATTTTGAATGAATATTGCAGTCTTGACCTCAAAGTCATTTTTATGTGACTTTCCCATTTATACCTGCTTGCTCTTCCATTGTATTAAATAGAGCAATTTATAGATTAACCACTAGAGTGAACATTTTTAAGTTACTCTGTGTAACTGTTGAGATGACTTAACTGTCAGACAGTAAGTGCATTGTTTTCAATGAGTCTGTCAGTCATAGACTTGTACTGACAGAAAGAACAATAAAAGCACAACTACTGTGCAGCACTGCAATCAAGAAGCACAGTCTGCATATGTAATGAGAAAATGAAACTTTCCTATGTAAAAATATCATTGCAAAACTACCCACAGGTACACAATATTATTCAGATCTCAGGAGTTAGACTTTATGCCTACGATTTTCCCTTCAGTCAACCACCTTCCACCGGCAGACTTTTTAAATTGGCAGCCGCTGTCAAATTTCAATTTCCCAATTAGAGATTGCAAAGAACTGAAAAGATATTGCACTGAACCTGAATAAATGTGGAAAAATTCAGCTATCAAACTACTATGAATTAAAGATTTCTAACACCAATAATGACCTGGGAAAGTGATTAAAAAAACAAAGTTGAGGTGGATTTAACATTCTGCACCTTGCAGAATTTGATTGGTTTCTTTGGTTTTAAATAAAGGCTCACAGCTTATGCCTTGGAAACATATTAAAGAAACTGTGTTATTCTTATTAAAGGAGAATTATGAGGCGAGTGAAAATCACTCAGCCTCATAGGTCTAGCCGACCTGTGACAATGAAACTGTCACACGTCGGCTCAATAGATCGGGAAGTGAGCGAACACATAGCGTCGCTCGCTCACTTCTCTATCTATCCCTGCAGAGAGCCGTGACTGTCACTCACGGCTCCCTGCAGGGATTCCCCCTCCTCCCCTGTCCGATCCTCCAGCACTGACTAGCGGAACGGACAGGGGAGGGGGCGGGCACAGCTTGCTCTGCCTCTAGATAGGCAGAGCCAGCTGTCAATCCTGCAGCTGGGTGGATCTCGACAGTAATGTCGGGATCCGTCCAGGCTGCGGCGTCTCCGTATACTGAGCTTAGGGTGACGGGAAGATGGTAGTTTGTGTCCTCCTGTTACCCTTTGGAGAACTATAGGGAAAAGCCCTGACCCCATAGTTCTCCTTTAACCAGTTGACATCTCACAGTAGGAGGAGTAGCTTCTAATGCTTTAGTAACCCTAAAGCTGGTTGCGGATCAATCAGCTAGTTGATCTCCACATCTTACCCTACCAGTTGAAGGGTAGCTAAGTACAACACCCAAAAAAGTTGGGACGCTGTGTAAAATCTACATAAAAACAGAATGCAATGATTTGCAAATCTCATAAACCCATATTTTATTCACAATAGAAAATGGAAAACATATCAAATGTTCCATTTTAAGAAAAAAATAAGGTAAATTTGAAATTGATGGCCGCAACACATCTCTAAACAGCTGGGACAGGGCCATGTTTACCATGATGCAGCATCCCCTCTTCTTTTAACAACACTCTGTAAACGTCTGGGAACTGGGGAGACCAGTTGCTAGAGTTTTGGGAGAGCAATGCTGTCCCATTCTTGCCTGATATAGGACTCTAACTAATAAACATTTGATATATTTTCTATTTTCTATTGTGAATATTATATGGGTTGATGAGATTTGCAAATCATTGCATTTTGATTACATGTAGATTTTATACAGCGTCCCAACTTTTTTGGAATTGGGGTTGTAGGTTAGCCGGGAGGGGAAAACCTGTTTAAAAGAGACATCAGACTGACCACTTAAATAAACTAAAATACAAATAAAATAAGATTATATAACACAGATAAAGCAAACGGCAATGTAAGAAAAATAAATTACAGACCTTTTTGAGATTGATGTGCAACCTCATGGGGATGCCTAAGTACGGTGTGTATCATCTTTCTGAAATGAAAGGAAATCATCAATATTAACCACATTACCAATTAATAAATTCCTATTGAATTTTCTGGGCAGTTAACATGCTCACAGAGAAGCAGTCTGGAGCGCAATACGCTGGCATAGAATTTAAATGAGCTTTGCAGACTATATTAGTAGCAAGTCTATGAGGAATCAAATAAGGACATTAGCGGAGATTATATGAGACGTGCCTGCAAAATTATATTAAACACCTGAAAATAGAATGAATTCTATTGCAGTAGAAATAGTTAAGACATTTACTTATTTTTAGCCATGGAAATAACTGCAGAGTACTTGATTAGGTAAGGGAGAAGGTGCTGCTAGAATGAATCATCACATTGCAAAAATATGCCTGTTTTAATATGTATAACACCCACAGCTACAGCTTATCTTATATGACTTGCGGTAGACCTTTTATTAGAACTCTTTCCACAACTCTGGAAAACTCCCTGCATTAAGACTTGGGAATTAAAATGATACCAATTAGACCTATATATTGTTTTGAATAAAACTGATTAAAGTAGAACTATGGTCAAACTATAAAATCACATATATGGTATAAGCCTATACCAGTAAGATCAGGCTCTGTGGGGTTTTTTTATATTCCACCTGGAACTTTTGTAAATACCTGTTGATAGGGTCAGCAAAACCATTGAATACGCACTTCCGTCGAAAGGACGACCACGCACTGAAATTATCAGAAATCTTCCGGAATGCACCTCACCTTTAGCAGAGACCCACCAGGGTCTGTATGCGCTGTTCCTCTAATTCGAAACAGGTAGAGGAAGCACCCGATGACGAATACCTCCCAGTGATTACCTCCTCTCAGGTACAGACTCTCTTGCAGTCTCAGGAATTGGAAGCAGACAGTTCATCCGAATGGCCCATGCATCAGATAAAATAAAAAGTGGAGACTCGTAGTGCAGATGGTTTTAAAAGGATACTAGACTTTATTAAAAAAAGGATACTACTCACATATCATAGATAAAATTGAGGTATTTTGTAAGCAGCCACAGACACACACAGTGTCTGTGTCCTTAAAAAAAGGAATACTACTCACATATCATAGATAAAATTGAGGTATTTGGTTAGCAGCCACAGACACACACAGTTTTGCAGTGTCTGTGGCTGCTTACCAAATACCTCAATTTTATCTATGATATGTGAGTAGTATTCCTTTTTTTAATAAAGTCTAGTATCCTTTTAAAACCATCTGCACTACGAGTCTCCACTTTTTATTTTATCTGATGCATGGGCCATTCGGATGAACTGTCTGCTTCCA